TGTTCAACATAAGAACAATGACTGAACATAACAGTACAGAACTGTGTTAGCCAAAAAGTGTGTGTGTGTGTGTGTGTGTGTGTGTGTGTGTGTGTGTGTGTGTGTGTGTGTGTGTGTGTGTGTGTGTGTGTGTGTGTAATGGAAAACTGCATATTGGGAGCGATCTCTATGATTAAGCAATGTAAGATGTAACCAAACAATTAACTAATTATCATTGACATTTGTGTTTCCTTTTATAGCTCCGACACAAAATTTGACTCTGGATCGGGTAAGTTGAAACCCATATAAATGCAGACTAATAATAACCTACAATTATTGACTATATATTATGTACATACAACAAAAACAGTCTTCTTGTGTTTGGGTTAGAATAAGTTTAATTTACTTTTCTACAACTGACAACTCAATCAGGGGCTCTTGTTAGTTTAAGCATATATATACCCAGTGTACTCTGGTGTAGTCAATTGTTTTACTAATGTAGGAACAGTCATGTTTTATAACATAATACAATCACTAAAGACTACATGATGACTTCTGTTTTAATCATAAATTCATTGCTTAACTTCTGTTATATTTTTTTACTGAAACAGTTTGTTGCGAATGTGCTGAGCTTTGTATTACAGTCACATATACTGAGACAAGAAAGCAGTCAGTCAGCAGGGGGCACTACAAAGCTCAGCACATTCGCAACAAACTGTTTCAGTAAAAAAATATAACNCATTATGAATGTAAGCGTAGAGTAATCATAAATAACACGGCAGGGTCCGTTACAGTTTGTTTTCATCTGATTTCAATTAAAACTAAGTCTTGGCTTTCAGAATATTAAACTTGTTTCGGCAAATTCAGATGATAAATACAACTTTGAAGCTTGTAACGGCATAATTACAAGCGGAGAACGGAGTAACTTAACGTCACAGCAGGCATAACAACAGCCGGTGTTTCTCGTGAGGGTTTCCCCCGGGAAACAAACGCAATACACACAAACGCAAAATTACACAAACACACACACACGTATACACACACACACACACTCGCGAGCTTCTCCCAGACCAGCAATCCAAACGAAAATATCTTCCCTCCGTAGTATTTTGATCATTTGCTCCGCTAATAATCAATCAGATCGATGGATTCCAGAGAAGAGAAAACTTTGAAGGCCTTTTTCTCAAAATGATGACTCGGTGACAGTCATTATATAATGTGACATATTTCGCTTAATATTTGGAGTACAAAAACGATCCTGATATCATTAGAAAGCTAGGCATATCCTCTTTCCAGCAGTGTATACAACTCAAAATGTGTCTTCGGGTCAATGCGACTGATTTCGATAGAGCAGCTCACATATGTACAAAGTGCACTGTGGTGCTTATCAGTTACAAACAGCAGACACTCATCAGGTATTCCCACACATTTCAGTCATTACTTGTGCCCTATTGGTCAGATGCAGGTGTTTGAGGAACTGAGGAAGGAAAGGTAAGAGGTTAAAGAAAGCTGATGTATTATTCATTATGGATGTCTTATCTTTGAGGTGATGGAGTTTTGGTTTGACCCACCTTGTCAGAGGTAGAGCAGCTCATTGAAGAAGGAGCAAGAAAATTGCAGGGGGTCAACTCAAGTCCATCACACTTGAAAAACAAAGATGAAGCTTTAGTCAAAATATACAACTAAACATGAGCAAAAATGATTTACTTTAATAACTTATCTACGGAGAAGAGTCAACAGGTTAGCCAAGTATGCTAACCTTAAGCTGCATTAACATGATAAGCAGCAAAATGGCTCTGCGCTGACGTTGTGTTTCTATAAAGAGAGTGTTGCAGCCCGACTAGGCGGACACTCAAAGTTCAAATGAATTCAACTTTGACCTTGTTTACCCCTGATCTCTTGATGTGCAACCAATCAGCTAACAAGAAAAAGAAAACGCTGTTTATCACCAATCCTGTGAATGCACTGTAAGAGCTAAAGTTACAGCAAAAGCTAAGGTTGTTTCAATAAGCACAGGCTCAGCTAGCTTATTTTATTGTGATTCTAACCATGTTTTAATCAGCTATCCCAAATCCAATAAACAGTAAATGGGAGTGTCATGTCAAATGTAATGTTTCTGTTCTCTAAGCATCAATTCTGTTGTATTTGGATGGAGGGCAGGTATCTTAAAATAAAAACCACCTTAATAGAGAGATATCACCGGAGGGATGTGAGATAGCATGTTTGTTTTAAGAGTTTATATGGGGGAACTGACCCATTTAAAGCAACATCTTTTCCTAAGATCAAACTGCAGCATAGTAAATGTTCCATTGAGATCTGGATTCAGCAGGCTTCACTTCTTTTCCAGCCACTTTCTACAGTAACATAGTGGTTGGCTGGAGGGGTTTATAAGATGTTATGACAGAGAAAGTTATATAAGAAATGTATGTACAACAGTTTGAGGACACCTTCCCCTAAGGAATATGACTTCGGATAAAACACTATTTATATTGAATAAAGTAGTTTGTCATATTAAGTTTAAATAAGTTCCATCACAGAGAGGATCAGTGCTCTGCAGCTTCAAACAAAACTAGCCCTGCCCCCTCTGGATTCTATAAAATAGGGTTGTAGCTAAATAGTTCACCCATCCATTCTTACAAGCATACACCTGTACATGAAAACACACACATTGTATTGTACAGTGAATTGTGCAAAACAGTTAATACATTGCCTAAACAACTAAAAAGTGAGATGGGCAGTAGCTGTTTACAGGGGTTTGTTCAGAAGTGAAAAAATCCCATTTTGTCTGAACGCTGTAATCTCAAGAGAGGCTCACTGCTGAACCAGCACACTCCTGAACGCTCAGAACTGGAGATGTGGCCGGTTTCCTCGGGTTGTCTTTGGTAGCACTTGTTCTGTTTTCTCTTTTATCCGTCCGTGTGTCTTGCTCTCCGTTTGTCCGTCTGTCTGTTTGTTTGACTCTCCTCATGTCTGTGTCGGCCAGCGATCGGCCTCCATCGCCTGATCTGTCGCCTGGGATTGGAGAGCTGCTCCGCGTCACTGCGCCTTCCACAGGGGGTTGTGATACACCCAGCCTTCACCCTACACACACACACATACAATAATGTTGATAATATTACAATATACATTTATTGTTATAATTTTGTGTTGTATTATTATAATTCTTATTATTGATTGTGTCATTCATATTATTATTATATATTTCATTTATTATTAATAATTATATATTTAATATGATTGTAAAATATTATTGTTGTTATTTTTATATGTATTAATAATGCTAAAAATAAACACAAAATCCCCCAAAAAACGAAACAAATATTTGATCTATATTATCTTAAGAGATAAGAAAAAGCTATAAAGAAACAAAAATAACAATACAAACACGATATAACAGTCTCTGAATATCAGAAACAAAATAAAAAAAGTATTCTGAGTGTAAGTATCAATATGACTGACCACCTGTGGCTGTTCATAGTTACAGGGCGGGTGACTGATGAAGATGCACATGGTGTCGAAACATTACATCAAGTGTATGCCTTTAATCCCTGTGATCAAGCAGGTGGGAGCAAAGACTTGAAATCTTCTCTGATACATGATCATCCTCCTCTGAGAGCCCCACACAGGCCTGCATTCCTTGTGAGTATGTCTAAGTGCTTTAGAAGTCGTCCTCCATCACAAACAGAGAAATAGGAATTACAATGCGCACATTGGGAGATTGACTTCGTTCTTAGCCTTTAAATCAATAAAGATGGCTGTACTTAATAAATTGGTACAGGAATGAGTCTTAAACCTGGAAATTACTTGGCATGTCACCACTTCTGGTTCCATCTTTTAGAAAACAATGTTTTTTTGTACGTGTTTGTGGTTAGAATCCTGAAATAAGTGTTTTAATTAGCACAAGCTTAAAAGATTTTCACGTATTGTTCCACAAAAAAATAAATAAGCATCACTGCACCACTCTGATTGGGCAGAGTTCCTAAACAGGTAATTCAGAACATAAACCTGACAACTTGTGATGACAAAGACCCTAAAACTGGTGCCTTCAATTGACATATGGATATCTGCCCCCCCTCACCTCTTTAATGAAGTATTTGGGTTTCCAGGGCCTGTGGGACGCAGCTCTCTGTTTGGCCTCGTGGCGCTGCCTGTCCTCCAGGCAGCGTTTATGGTCTGTGGCTGCGTCCAAATGTCCTCCCTTCAGCGACGCTGTTACATGCTGCCAAAGACGCCTAGTGAAAAAGAAAGAGAACAAGAAAATCTTCATGATTATGCCTTGGAAACAGGGAGAATTTAGCTAGCAAAAGTATAACATTAATGTAAACAGTATTTCCCAAATATTTGTCTAGGGTCAATAAAGAATCGATTAACAGCAATATATAAAAAAATAAATAACAAGTTTTAAACATTTTGAAAAAGCAAAGTCAGTTAAAGTGAAGTCCTAAAATAGAGGGCAAAAATAATAAGAGCACACTGATAACATATTTTTTATTTCTCATTTTAATTTAGGCTGTTTAGCCGCTCCACTATAATGATGACGATGCTGTAATAAAAAGAAACTCACCGGGACTCGTACTGGCCCTGCTTCTCTATAGGCTGGATCTTCTTCTTGATGATTGGATGCTTGGAGGTGTCTATCACCTTGTTCTCCCCGTTGCTGTAGGTGAACTCCAGCACCCCATTCCACTCCCCCTGTGCCTTACACACTATGTTTCCAGTTTGGTTGTGCTTCACCTCTGCTGTCACTCTGTGGGAAATCAACAGGAGCATTCACAGTGTGAGAAGGGTTCATTTAAAAATTCATTTCGTTACAATTACTAGTTACCTGCCTTTCATGAAGCATATTCAGGCAGTAGCCTATATACCAACAATGAAACACATGAGCACATACTACAGAAATAAAATTTGAGCTGACAAATGAAAATGCTCCATTTTAGTTTAACACAGTTAAGCTCACACACACTATTTTATGAACATATAGGTTCACCGACTGAATTAAAAACAGAACAAATGAACAAAGAAAGTGAAAACCATAAAGCAGATTCAGGCAGTAGGCGTATGGATTCACACTCACAGGTGTTGGTGGGATTGGCGCACCAGAGCATGTTTTGTTACTATAACTGCTAATCAAAGGATTAAAATAGAAACTTCACTAAACTAAAATTGCCGCTGGGGCATCAGTAAGTGAATCTTAATGCTGGAAAAATGAATTAGGCTAAAAATACTTATCTATTTCTACTGAAAGGCCTCCTATTATGCTATTTTTAGGCATATATTATGGGTCTCAGATTAGATGTAAAAATATATAAAAACATGTCTATGATGTGTTTTGCTCAAA